CGCAGCCCCCGCCCGTGCCCCCCGCCGCCGCCGCGGGGCCCCTGGCGGGACAGCCGCGCAAGAGCAGTTCGTCGCGCCGCAACGCGTGGGGCAACCTGTCGTACGCCGACCTCATCACCAAGGCCATCGAGAGCTCGGCCGAGAAGAGGCTCACCCTGTCGCAGATCTACGAGTGGATGGTGAAGAGCGTGCCCTACTTCAAGGATAAGGGCGACAGCAACAGCTCGGCCGGCTGGAAGGTGAACGGCCCCAGGGTGGCCCTGCGGGACGTGGGTGGGGGCGGGCGGAGGAGGGTCGGCAGGTGTGGGGTTTGCGGGGGGCCCCCTCCCCGGAAATGGCAGGGCGTGCGGGGAGAGCGGGTGAGAAACGGCAGGTGTGGCTGGCGGGGGGGGCTTCGCGGAGACCCGGAGCGCTGGACCAAGTGCCACGCCAGGGAGTTCGCGGGGGGACCCGGAAAGGGCTTGTTTGGGAACTAAAGGGGGACGCCAGATCTGGCAGGCGTAAAAGTTAGCTCGTTGTTGGAGCGGAGGGGTTCACTTCGCTGCGCTCTCCTCCTCCTTGACACCCCGAACCCGCGAGGCTTCTTCGGGCGGCTGCTCTCCGCCCACACGCGCACCCAACTCTCCCAGCCTTTGGCCGCCAAGGTTTCCCCGGAGGAACCTCTGGAGACGTCCCCCTTCACGCACACGCACCCTTGGGGACTCGGGCTGCCGCTGGGGTGGCCAAAGACGCGCAGCCGGCCGAGCTAGGTGCGGGCCGCCCGCAGCTGCCCCAGGTCCCCGAGGCCGGAGCGAATTGGGTTTTAGCCAAAGTGACCTGCGCAAGGTGGGCGAGCGTCCCTACTCCCTGGGTAGGGTGTCCGACGCGTGCAAGGGGGCGGCCACGGCTTTTAGGCTCTGGGTAGCCTAAAGTTCAAGTGTGACCCTTGGCCGGGGCGGGAGCGGGCGGGGAGGGAGGGACCGCGTGTACAGGAAGCTAGAGCCTTTAAAGGGCCAGTGCCTCCGTCTGGGCCGCCACACTTTAGTAGTCGGGGAAGTGCCGCCACAGTTGGTCTTGCTTGGAGAGGGGTGCTTTTTTAATTGGAAGCCGAGAAGCTGCTACGCGTGCCCGGATTATTATGCATGGGTGTTTGCGAGTACTTTCTCTAGCCATAAAGCCTGGAGCTACCCACGAGGGGCAAGGCTGGGAGCTTTGGAGTATTTGGTGGAAGTCTTCAGTGGGATGCCCGCTTAGGGAATTGCCGAGGACCTTCTGCCTCGGTGGAGGATTGCAGATTTGCAAATTTAGGTGCTTATGGTCCTTGTTTACCTTTCTGGAGGTGGCAGGGAGAGACCGAGGTGACTCAAGAGTTGGACTAGGACATCTTTACCCCGTGGTGGGGGTGGTGTAAGGGCCCGGGGCCTTTTGGAGGAGAATTGGAATATTGCACTGGGGTCACACTGGCGGCGGTCACCCTTGGCTGACAGTTTCTCAGCGTCACTGGTGGAACATAATAGATCTTAAGAGTCTCCTCTCCAGTGTAACGCAACAGTTTTTAGTTGTTTTTTTTCCTCTCTCCCGGTCTTGGCTGCACGGCATAGCAGAGTCTTTGCTTCGTGATTGTTACAGCAAGGTGCTTTTACATACTCTGTCATCCCCGTGGTTAAAGTATCTAAAAGGTCAAGTTACTCACATCATGTGAAAGTTCTGGGAGAAAGAGCCAGGGGTGGTTTTAGTTTTGCCACAGTGTGTTTTAAAGATCCCCACTATGCCTGACATGCAATATTACCAAGTGTTCCAAAAAGTAAAATACCTATTTCTGATCCTCTAATTCACAAACATAGAGGTTGTCTTTAAAGTCCAGCTTTAATTAACATAAAGCATTTGTCGTTAAAAACAAACAACAAAAATCTAAAACCCTTTGGGCTCCCAAAGCACAGTGTGTACTTACAGCATTCTTTAATGTTCTTGGAAAGGGATACAACCTACTTCAGTTTGAGTGCCTTACTTTAAAGATACAGGCAGTGTTTGGGGATATTTTTAGTTTTGCCTTTTAGATGGCTTGTGAAGATACTCTTCAACTAGAACGGTAACAAGTTTAAAATTAGTTTTTAGAAAAATAGTCTTGGGTCACATTTTTAAGCTATTTTATTTTATTCTGATTTCTTAATAATTCAAGTGTAATTATTTATGTATTTAAAAAAAAATTCTCATCGGAGCCAAGAAGCGTGTTCAGCGTGAATTAAGGGCCCTCCAGAGGTGAAGGTCCAGGCACTGTTACTTCAGCAACTAGCAAATTTTGGGGTGGGGAGCAAGTGTTTTCAAAGGAGTAGATGTTTGACTGTAAGAAGTCTGTCCGTGTAAGCTAAACTGTAGCAAATGCGTTTTCAGTCTGAGTAACGGGGTATTTTAAGAAGAAACCTGAACCTTTGTAACTCATAACTAGTCTTCTGGTTAAAGCTTTCATAAGAATGAGTTATGATACTTGTTAAAAACCAAGTTTCACTCTCACATCTGAAAGATGCACTGAAAATTCATAAAAGGAAGAAGTTACATTATGGTTTAAAATCCGATTCTAAAATGCAAATCAACCCAAACCTAACTGGTCTAGCACTGTGGACAAGTAGCTTTGAAACAGAGTATTTCCTCTAATTAGTTATTGGGAATCCGGCTGAATCATTAATTAAACTGTGCTTTGTGATGCACTTCCTGCGACTTGACTGAGAATTTGAGTCTTTTTACAAAGGACGAAACAACTGGAAAGCTATTAGTGTCCAAAACCTTTATTTTTAGAAACCGAGATGTATGTAGTTCAGTTGGTAGAATGGTTTCGTAGCATGCAGGAGGTTCTGGGCTCACTCCTCGTGCTGTATAAACAGGGTGTGGTGGTACATGCCTTCATTTCTAGTGCTCGTCTGTGGTCCTCAGCTACACAGGGAAACGATGCATATGTGTATACACATTTGGAGAGTGAGTTAGACATTTAAAACGACATGGTGATACATGCCTGATGATACGGCACTCAGCAGTTGGCAGCAAGAGGATCATAAGTTCAAAGTCATGCCTATCTCCATAGTGCAGCCTGGGACACCTGAGTCAAAAAGAAAAAAACAAAACTTTTAATGTTTGGTAAAGCATTGAACATACACTTTTCCGAAAAGTTTGTGGACATGGTGTATAAGTAACATCTGTCTTAATATTGTGTGTGCGAGCACACATTTGTTAGTTGGTATGCATGGTTTGGATGCCTTCCTCAGCCTCTCTCCACCTTATTTTTCAAGATAGGGTCTCAGTAGGGTCTCTTACTGTGGCCTTTAGAGATTTGGCCAGACTGGCCTGAAATGAGCTCCAGGGGGTGTGCCTTCCAGAAGTTAACTGCAAAGACACAGGCTTTTATGTTGGTGCCTATAACCAGGACTCAGGCTCTCAGGCTAGCACTTAACATCTTCCTGGTCTCTTCATTTTGATATCGGCTAGAACTGTTCTAAGTAACACACGAGTGGAACTTAAAACTTGGAAAACCTGGAATGTTTTAAACAGCACAGTATTTGTAAACAATGAAACTTCATGTCCATGACCTGTTTCCTCACATAGAAGACTTTCTAAAGCTTGGGAAGAGTAGCATTGTGAGTAGTATTTTTTTTTTTTAAAGTGGTGGTTTTGAGTTGACTCTTATTGATTGTTTTGATGGAACACTTCAAAAAATGTGTTAGGGCTGGGGGGGTGGGGGTAGCTCAGATGGCAGTGTGCTTGCCCCGCATGCAAGAGAGCCTAGATTTTTACTCCTGTGTGCAGTGCATGCTGGTGATCATAGCATACAGGAAGTGGAGGCAGGAGGATTCCAAGTTCAAGGACATTCCTGGCCACATATCTCCCCTGGGGTATTTGAGACACTGCTTCAGCAACAACAAAATTATTTGACTGTAAGATTGAAGATTTATTAAAGAAGGTTTAGGGTTTCTTTCTTTTTTTAAAATGAAATAGTTTACTTGTTAATTTTGAGTGAAATTTCTTTAATTTTATCAATAAAATAATAGTGCATTTTTTAATGTCTTCAAATGTATGTTTAGTCTGCAATTTAGTTTTAGTTTATAGGTGAGGAGCTACAGACGGCTGACTGGGAGGATGGCTGCTGTATTGTGCACAGTGCCTTTGACTTCAGAGAGCCCTTCTTTCTGAGACTGAGGAGAGGACTTGATGGTGCTTTTCCTACTTCTAGTTTTTCCTTTATTTCATTTTGTGTGCATGTGCACCACCTGTGTGTAGGCATCCATGGAGGTCAGAAGAGGTGTCGGATACCCTTGAACTGGAGTTACAGTGGTTGTGAGCCATGATCTAGGTACTGGTAACCAAACCCTGGTTCTCTACAAAAGCAGTGATTGCTCTTAAGTAAGAACAGTAATTGCTCTTAACCTCTGGGCCCCCTCCCCAGCTCCTGTTTCTAGTATCTGCTGCTGCTGCTGCCTTTTGTGGTCATTGAAGTTCCCTTAAAGCCATTTTGATAGTCAGACAAACCCTCAGACGGGCAGTATGTTGACTACCTGGATAGATGAAGAGAATGAGGGGGTGGAGTAAGGAGACCGAGGCTAAGTGTGTGTCTTAGCTGTTAAATGCTAAAACATTTTAGAGATTGAAGTCCTGTACCTACCCCCGCTTGGGACACCATAGCAAGAGGACTGTGAATTTGACACAAGCGTCATAGCAAGACACCCCCGTCTCCAAGTCTCCACAACAGAAAACAGATATCAGATCTGAAAAACATAAGAATATTATTCTGTTACACTTCACCTATGAACTTTTTCTCAGCAGGAAGGACCTTCCATGTTTATTGCTGGAGGATTTTTCATACATGCATATGTTTTGATCAAATCCGCCTTCCATTTCCTCTCCTCCAGTTCTTCCTCTCTTGCCCCAACACTTTGACCGCCCTAGCTTCATGTGCTGTGGTGTTAGATGCACTGAGTCTCCTTAATGCTGTTTGTATGTGCACAGGTGTAGGACTGTCTACTAGAGCATGGGTAGCTTCTTAGGGCCACATCCCTGAAGAAAACGGACTCTTCTTCCCCTAGTAGAGATCCGCTGTCAATAGCTCCTCAGTGGGTCTTTATGAGCCACTCCCACAGCCATGTTGGGGTTTTGTTGCCTTGACCTTGTGCAAGTCTTCTACATGCACTCACAGCCACCGTGAGTTCATGGGTGCCCTGCCTCGGTCTTGCCCAGCAAATACTGTTTTACTGTAGATGGCTACTACCTGTGGCTC